ATATATATATATATATATATATATATATATATATATATATATATATATATTATAAACTCTTAAAAAATTAGGACAACGGTTGGAAGAGACATTCTTGGTTGGTTGATCTTCTTAAAGGAGAAAGAATGGAGGTTAATTGTTCTTCTTAAAGCGTTGAATGATATGATATGCACTCGAGTGTCATAATAACACTTGAATAAGGCAACTTTAGATGAAATAAAAGTGATTGAATCTCTTTATTGCTTGAACACTAAAACTCTTGAAGGAAAGATGATTAATTCCGACCAATCAAATGGAAACTTGAGCCACGATTCTCAATCTTTATGTTAAACATTACTTGTAGTTACTTGAATGATATTCTGGTTGACTTAATCAAATTAAACATAGTTAAATAATTTTTTAATTTTAAGCATTTATTCTAAAATAAAATTTAAAATATCCCCCGAATTTAATCGGAAATAAAATCAATAACATATAAGTATACAAACATACAAATCATTTATACAAAACAACTACAACATTTAAGGTTATATAAACTTCTAAAACATGTAAGGGTTATATAAACTTTTAAAACATTGATTATATAAACTTATTTTTCTCATGAGCACCAAACACATGTAATGTAAGATCCTGAAAAAAAATAATAATAATTAAGAAAATAAATAAATGAGATTAAATATATGTTTTAAGTAAAAGATAAAAGAGTTCAATAATGATTTAATTAAAAGATATTATATATTGTTAGATATTATGAGATATCTTTAAATATTGGTAGATATTAATAAGTCATGATTAATTATTTTAAAGAGATTTATTTAAAAAATTATTATAAAGATATAATTACTTATTATTATTTATTTTATTTCAAAGACTATCATAGGAGATATAATGATTTGTTAATTATTTATTTTATTTAAAAGTTTTTCTAGAAAATAAAAAATTTGGTGGTATTAGAAAGTGGATTTAAGCCTAACTCAACCCCACAAAACCGCTTGTAGGATGAGGTTTGCACCCGCTTATAAACTATGAATTGACCTTATCTCTATGTGGGACTTCCAACACAGCCCTTCACGCCGAGGTATAGACATATCGTGCATGATAGTAGAAATTAATGGGTGATCCGATAGCGGTCTGACAACGGATGAAAACATAAATGCCCACTTAGAACTCGCTAGGATAGACTCTAACCTGACTCTGAAAATGATTGATTATTTCGTTCTGATTTCAATTGTGAGAGATTTTATTATGCATTTGTGTTGATTTATAGGGTGAGTGTTGGATTAATGAAAAATGAAGATTAAATTAGAAAAGTAAAAAAATAAAAAAAGGAGAAAAAAAAAGAAAATATACTAAAGTGTGGTGTTTACCAACGAATTTGACTAATAAATATTTTCATTAGTAATTATCAACCTATAAAAAAAATTTGCGTTAAAAAGGTGATAGAAATTGAGATATCAACAAATCGTTTTCGTTGTACTTGCAAGGACGTTGTACCAGTTTTTGAAAATACAAGATTAATATTTTTACGTTAATAACTATATAATTTTAGAACAAATTCAAAATATGTGAAATCATTCGATAAAAAAAACATGAACTTTTTGTAAATCAGGTTTAAAATCTATTCATATATATATATATATATATATATATATATATATATATATATTGATTTTCCACCAGTGATTAGGACAGAGGCACAGGAATTTCTTTCTACACACGAATTATCTTTCTACATAGAGGGCGAGAGAGAAAATTGTCAAGGAGCGAAAAAGATTCACTATTAGAGTTTGAATGGAAGAGGAACATATACTAAGAAAGACAAAGAGATGATAATTATACAAAACATAGACCGAATCATTTATATACTAGGAGATCGAGAAGTACTTTAGTTTCCTAAAAATTAGAAAAAAAAAACTCAAAAAATATGAGTACTCTAACTAATTATAAACCACATAATTATTAATTGTGAACCATAAATTAACTTTTATATAATCAATTTAAAAAGTGCTGTAAATAGTTTCAAACGTTAGAAAATATGTTATAATATTATATATGATGAACTAATTTAAGCACTTTGAACAATCGACTTATGAGTTTTCTAAATAATTTTTTTTGTTAGTTCTATACTTATTACTTTATAACTGGGAAACTATTTTGTAATTGGTTTTTAGTATAATGGATTTTTTTTTTATCAATTACCAATTATAATAGCAGAATTTGTTACCACCTCACATATGTTATATAAGTTTTCCAAAAATTGCTATAAATTTTCAATGTTAATTTTTTTTGGTACTAATATAAATAAAATCTCTAAAATAATAAAATAAACATATAATTAAAATTTAAAATATAATCAAAGAGTAGGTGGATTTCCTTAGTAAACTAATAAAGATATATTTAATTTGAGATTATACAAGGAAGAAATTTGAGATGAAAGGATTCGTACAATAAAAGAAAAACAAATAAACAGTATTTCAAATTAAAATTTATTGCATAAATATTCATGTAAAAATAAAGTCTGAAAATGATTGATCATTCAGTATAAAAAAAATAAGCATAAATAACAGTGAAATTATGCGTATAATAAAATTTCAAACTTGTAGTACAAAGGTTATATTAAAAGTAGATTCAGAAAATATAATATGTGAGATGCATGATTAAATCAATAATGTATTAAAAGATTACTCCAACCCTTCCCCTAAATTGTTGAGATCTGACTAAAATATGTTACTGATGACAGATATTTTAAAGTTCAATCACTTTTATATGCACTTTATATAGGTAACAAATCCCTTAAAATAATGGATATTTTTCTCAAAAGCAAGGACCAGAAGCTGTCACAGTGTCCGATCCAAGAATTCTTTTATACTTTGCACACAGTTATTGGGATATGTATATACCAATATCATTGACCTTAATAATAATATATATATCGTGATACTTCTATATTTATTAATTTATTTATTCATAATATATATATATATATAGAATTAATATTCCAACCACGTTCACTCACCAACCCTACATTCACCCACCTAGTTAATACGCATTTGATATTGCAAAACTAGATGACAAAGACTATGAAACTAATGGCCATCAAAGAAACTCCATCAACATGCACATGGGCTTGTTCCCTCCCTCATTTCTGAACCATATAAAAATTTAATACCTTCTTCATCCAGCTGAGACATTGATCATTTTGCAGGACACATACAACTAATTAAAACATAAATCAAACTAAATCATGTACCAACAATCTCTTCAGGGAATAAAGTATGCATTAAAATTCAAGGTATTTTAGCACACAACAATCATCACAGCATGGAAGGATCACATAATAAACAAGCCAGACTATATAGGTTAAGTTTATTGCTTCTTGTCCATTACAAATGCTCCATAGACTCCTTAAAATTAAACTTGAATCTATATACCAACAAAACAAAACAAAAAAAAATTTTTTAATTTTTTTTAATTTATTTTTTTTCTTTTCTTTTTTTTTTTTTTTTAATTTTTTTTTTTTTTTTTTTTATAGCTCCAATTTGGTACGGAATCTCACACATCATGTATTTCCCCACTTTCAGCTTCTGCTTTTGCATTTTTCCATTGCTCTTGGCGCTGAAACCACATTAAAAAAATGCCCGCCAACACATTAGAATATGCCAACTATATATATATATATATATATATATAGTCATTAATTACTAATTATGTTTAATGATTTCCCTGAGTGATATAAAATGAGTGCAGAGAAAAAGTAGATGTAATTTATTAAGATATAATGATGCATACCAAGTCCAATTGCCTCTGATCCTTTCATTATTCGCAGACGCTTGCATGATTCAACAAACATCCTACAGAAAAATGAAACAGTCATCAAGGTTAATTTTCGACGGTCTGCAGAATCAATATGCATGACTGATTTATGCCTAGTAAAGTATAGATGTTTGTTTCTGATCAAGAGCTCCTCAAAAATCACAATTTTCCATTTGTTGGACAGCAATTAAAAAAGATTAGTGAATATATAGTTACTGGTTTTATATATCTGCATGTAAGAAATGATTGCATATAATAGCTGCCGATGTTGTTGTTGAATGAACTTACTCCCATGGGACATCACCCACGAGCATCCAGTCACCATCCTTATCTTCATAGGTTGGCACATACTCAGAGCTGTTAAGAAGATCCATCAACTTGCGCTCATTCATGAAGTCTATCATTCCTTGGGCCCCATAATTACCTTCACCAGTTCCAATATAAAAACTTAAGTAAATACCATGAAAAATATTTTTATATTTTAGCTAATTTACGATCACAGGTAACAATCTGCAATCTTATATCTGAATGTAACAATCTAAACCAACCCGTATACGCATCATTAACATGCATCAAGGATTTAAAACTTTATATTATATATAATAAAAAGTATTCCTTTTAGGTCGTTTGTTTTCTATAGGGTTACATACATATAAAATAACGAGGTTTCGACACACTTGCACAAGTGGTTGGAGAAGAAAGAAATAAATAAGAGAGAAGAGAACTCCATGTAATGAAAAAGAATGAGGAGAAAGAATTTATAGTGCAAGATAGGTGCAGAGAATAGATGGTAAAAAACTAAGCTGCGGTTGATGGTATTATGTGTGTGTCTGCATGACTCTCTTGCATATTATTAATATAAATTCCGGTCACATGGTTGTGTTAAAAGTGGTTTAAATAGAGAGGGGAAAATATGGATCACATTTAGTAGGCGTTATTGTAGTACTAACCCATGGTGAAGGAGCTGAACATTTTGGCCAAGGCATCAGATAACTCTTTGTAGCTTTTGTACATTGTGAGGTCCACCTTGCGAAGATAAGGAGCTCCGTCCATGGAAACTTTGACAAATGCCCCAGAAGCAGTGCTGCTTGTTGTCTTCTCAGCTCCATCCTCGGTGCTAACCTTCTGGCTCATCATGTTCTTTCTGTATGACCTCACTGGTGGCCAACCAACCACTTGAGCCCTGAAACATGTATATATTATTCCAAATCCCATCAATCTTACATACCTTCCTCATATCTCCCTCTTCTTTATACAACAAGTCGGAAAATTTTATACCTTATGCAAACTCTATATTCCAACATGCAATAAAGTTTAAGAAAAATATGTAATTAGCAGAAAGCACTAAGAAAGTTGGTGTGGAAACATTGTAACTATTAGTTGTTATTAGTAAAGTGAAAAATCAGGTTATATGAAACCAAGCAAGATGTATTCTTGACGCTTACGATGAAGAAAGAAAAGATTTGAGAACAGAAGCATGCAAAAAAAAAAAAAAAAAACTTTAGAAAGCAAAGGGGGAAAATCGCTTACTTAGCCGGTTGTTTGGTAGGATCCTTAAGGAGGGTCTTCTCCTCTGAGGCATTCTTCAGATTGTCGTTGAGATCTTCCTTGGCCTGCAGATTGAGCTTCAGATCAACTGTCTCAGAGAACCCTCTCTTCCCAGTAGCCCTTGGTGTTTCCACCTCAGAGCCACCGCCACCGCCGCCGCCTCCACCGCCAGCACCAGGCAGACCGAGGCAAAGCTCAGTCTCCTTGAGGTTGAGAGCATGGTCCTTTGCCAGCATAGTTGCCATTTGAGGCTTCTCTATGAACTGACACAGCTTAGCAGCAGAGTATTTAAAAAAAAGGCAAAGAATAACTGTTGCAGTTTCACCTCTTTGAAAGTGTCTCTCCTTGTTTGTGTAGGTTCCCTCTTTCTTGTGTCCTCTTGTATTATAATGGTGCTTGGTTTGTTTGGCTATATAGATTAGAAGAGAGAGAGAGAGGGAGTGATAGCCCTCAATAATATAGGTTTGAGGAACTTGTGCTTGTGGCTGCATGCCTGTGTCATATCATGTTTGGGACGAATTGCATGGTGACACGTGGTGATGTGTGGAACGTTGATCCTTGGGAGGAAATAATAGGGTAAACTTAACCGACTCTGATCATTTTTGGTGGGAGGTAGTATTGTTGTTGTAATTTTTGATCACATGCAGAGCACTTGGTGTTGTTAGTTTTCCATCTTGTAGTGTCCTCTGGTTTGAGGACTGGTTACTTAGTTTAGTTATCTAGAATAGTGAATCGTGTATTTCTGTCTTCGCAAGAAGGCAAGCATACGTAATTTCCAAATTTCTTTAGATACCCTTCCCGGCAACCCTGCTTTCACCTGTCAAATTATTGGATCGTTTTTGTAGCTTTGTCTACATTTTTCTTATTCTTCTTAATTATTATTTCAATCAATAAATCTTATATTCCCAACACTGTTCCATTGTTTTCCAAGAAAAGTCATTTTCCTTTCACCTTATGTTTTATATTTCAATTTAAATTAATCTCACGTCATTACCAAATAACATCAATATAGATTGGGTAAAGTACTATAGTAGTACCCGCCTTTCTATATTTCTATTTTTAAAAATACCTATTTACTAGCTTATCCAAAACTGTTGCATGCACGGATGCATTTTTCTATTTTAATATACTTATATTTTTTATTTTTCTATATAAAACTTAAGGGATATTTTTTACGTACTTTTATCCTTATTTTGTGACTATATTTTTTTTTTAATTTGGAGAAAAAACAAATTTAAATTTAATTATTAAACCATTCAAGCATGATATTATAATTATATATATACCCACTTTGAAGCATTCTTAAATAAGTAAATATTTATTCTATTCATTACCAAAATTTGATAAAACTATACTTACGTACTTTGCATAAAAAAACAGCGCACATATTAGAAGTACATGTATAAATAAAAATTGCCTTGCTCTAGTTGGCCGTTGCAGTGACAGTGATGATGGGTGGCGAAAAAGGCAATAATGGTAACAGTGATGATACAATAATAATAGTAGCAAAGTAACAATGATGGCGAGTGATAGTAGCAACTGGGCACTGATGATAACTTTGACTTTGGTGGGATAAAAAAATGTTGAAAAAAATCTGGGTCATGATAGGAACTGATGGATTGACAGAAGTAATTAACAACTTATTTAGATGCTAAACAAAAGAATAAATTTTAAAAAGATAACTAAATACTAGTTAATCTCTCATGATAAGGAGATAAGGTAATAAGCTATTTTATAATTGATCAAACATGTTAGATTACATTATATAGTCAGTGATTAATAAGTTAATTACAGCTAGCCGTATGATGTTGTTCATTTATGATGGTGTGATGAGTTACTATTGGTGAAGATGGATGGATGATCGGTTGTTATTGTCGAAGGTGGTATTTTGTTGGGATTGTGGTGGGCATGGAATTAAAAGTTAGAATAAGTTTGTAGTAAGAATTTAATTCCCTACTTCACTGAAACCACATGAAGTGAAATGAGTGGGGTATTCTCCGGCCACTGCATCACACTGTCATCGTCCCCATAAAAGTTCCTGCTTCAGGAGCTGCAAATTATGTACTTTCCTCTTCTGGTGAGAATGGATTGGCCACTGCTTTTTTAATTAGCTTTTAACAGATACATATTTTCGACCAGACCACAAAAACCATCACATGTTAAACAAATAAACTTGTTTCTTAAATATCTATGTAATATTACAAAGCTATTTCTTAAGTTTTTGCTACCTTCGGCCATGTAAGGATTACACTTTTCCTCTTGGTAATGGAATCCTCCAGTTAACAAATTTTATACAATTTTGCTTATTTCTAGTTATTCTTTTTATCAAACCTACTTGGCAGTTCCACATGTGAATTTGTAGTATAAAAGTAAATATTCAATTCAACAAGTTATATAAGATTGAGTTATAAGATTAAAACTCAATTTTTAATCTTGTGAAAAAACATGAGTTAAAGTTTTTGTTGATTTATTGTTTCACTTATATTTAATTTTATGTTCGAGATGCATATGTTTCGATGTAAGAAAGTGTACCAGAGTTGCATATTTCAACTTAACTAAAGATGATAATTTCATAATATATAAGAATGTAAAAATAATTTTAAATTCATGGTGTCATGAGTTAAAGCTTTTGATGATCTATTATTTTATCCGTTATCATACTATGTCTTAGATTTTTAATGTTATATATATATATATATTTAAGTGTGAAATTGAAAATCTCACGTAAACTAAAAATAAACAATTTCATAGCATATATGGATGTCAAATTAATTTTAAATCCACAACTCAATTCGACTACACTGTTAGAATTGGATACAATTAAAAAACTATATAATTTTTTCAAATATAGGTCAAACTAAAATTATCTTAATTAATATTGATTAACGGGTTTAATCCAAATTAAAAACGAAACTTACTATAGTAATTTTTTTTTCATAATTTTTTTATAATCACTTATGATTTATGTATCTTGACACTTTAATAAATTTTAAAAATTAGAATATTATTTAATTTATACTATTATAAAAAAAAGATTGTTTTACAGTATACTCATTTTGTTTTAAATTTTATTCTTTAAATAATAATTTTATTTAAATTAAAATATTAACTTTAAAAATTGAACTTTTTTAATTTTATTTTCTTTTAATTTAATTGTTTTTTAAACCAAAACAACTATCCATAAAAAAATTATTTAAATAATAAATAAAAAAATCTATAATAAAATTGTAAAAATTACTTATATTTTATTTTTATAATTATAGTCATTTATATTTAATAAATAATATAATAATTTTATTTTTTTTATTATCATAAAAATAGTAAATATAAATGTGCATAATACATGTGTTTTCACCCGTAGTGCTCTAATAATTTTAATACTTAAAATTATTTATTTATTTATATAAGTTAACACGTTAAATTAATTCATTTTTAATCCTAAACACGATGGGCTCTAATATGTATGAGAGGATTAACTCATTTTAGCAATCCGAATTTTATATAGATAAGATTATTTATTTAGCTAAAACTTATGAAAAATAATTAAAATTTATAGTTAGATACATCTTAAGTTTACATTCTGTAAAATACTTTAAAGATATATATTTGTAAACACAACAACAAAATCTTTAAACAATAACCAATTTTAGTGACAAAAAATTATTTAATAGATTAATTTAGATATCAATTTGTAAACTAAAAGTTATTGTTAACTAAAATAGTTTCAAAATTTTATAATTAGTCTCTAAATTGATAATTAAAATAGTTTATGTTATGAATTGGTCTTTAATTTAGTTATTAACATTAGATATCAAAATTTTAACTCTCAAAAGAAGTAGTCTCTAAATTGATTTCTAATTGAGAAACTGGTCACTAAATTAGTTTTTAACATAGTTTTAGTTACAAAAAATTATCATTATTTAAGAATTTTCTTATAGTAAAACTTTTTAATAATAAATTGTAAATTATATTTATAATTTATCACTTTTTGAATTATGTTCATAATATTTTAAAGAAATTTATTATTTTTATCATTTATAATTTAAGAGTATCTTTTTGGATACAAACTTATACTTTGTTACACCGTTGTTTTGTTTTGAAATATGAGAGTATCTGTTAAATATATATGGAATAAAATTTCATTTAAAGATGTTTTTAATAAATAAAAATCAATCCATAAATAAATTAACAATTTTTTTAAATCAGGGTATGATCCAATGCTGATGGCGATATATCCGGGCTTAATTCCGTTATATTTTGGGCCTCGGCAGATTTCAACTCTTGGGTTTTAGTCTCCCATTTTTTTTCTTACTTATGCCTCTTTAGAAACTTACATTTATGTGAACTTATTGAATACAATATTGAAAAATATTATCTATCAAATTTCTAGTAATTAAAGCCCTTTGAACAGATAATCATATAAACTCAACAAGTTAGTTTGGATTTTTAATTCAATAATTTCCCTTTAAGATTAGCTGTTCTTATTGAAGAGTCAACCAAGTTTGACATAAGCCATCTAAGTCACCATTTTCATAAATATGAAAATGTGATAAAGTCAAAATGTTAGATCCGGATGATGAGAGTGTTAGATAAAAATACCAAAAAAACATTACCTTGGAGTTGAAGGAAACTCTTACAAAAGGAACATGCATACGTATGAGTGTTTTTTTTTTTAAACTTGGACCACTCATATTCACTAATATATGGAGCATGCATGAAAGGTTGTTTCACGATGATAAACGAGCCTATAAAAGTGGGAAGAACCTTGAAGTGAGTAATAACTTAACTTAAAGTTTAATTTGTTGTAACTATGAGTTTCTAACTAATATTAATGAGAAATAAATTGTTTAATAACTTGTTTGGTCAAAGACTAACTTAGCTTAAAATAATATCGAAGCAAGTTGTTTACGATATTTCAGTAACGGATGATGATTTCCTTAAATCATCACCGACGAAATTGTTTCTTGTTAATTCATGTATGTAGTGTTTGAAAGAAAAAAAAAACTAAAAGCTTTTAGAGTACGAGGGAAAATATCACATACATGTAATACTAAAAGTAAATATAAGAGGATTGAGCCTAGTAAAAGAATTATGTCTCACATCATAGAAAATCAAATTTTATTTTTATAAGAGATGTGCTTACATTTAATGTCCTACCATTTTGCCATTAAATATTATCCTTTAACTAAAAAATATACATGTAAAAATCCCAAAACCAATATCACACACATCAAGAAATTTAGGATGTTCCACAAGGTTCGTAGACAATTTAATTATTTATAAGTTGGAAAAGTTTTTTAATATAAGATCTCGACGAGTTTTTTAACAAATTAGTTTTTACGAATAAATTAATTATATTTTTCTTAGATAGGGAAAATTCATATGAAAAATGTTTATAACATTATCTTTGTTGTGTTTTTCTTCATCTGTTAAATATAA